GAGTAATGGGAGGTTGTTCGAGGGCTCCATAGGTCTCAGGGAAAGCCCAAAACACAGCCATGAGAGCTCATGCTCAATGTGGACAATATCATACCATACCATTGTGAAGGGTCGTGATTGATAGATCGGGTAGGAGTTCATTTACGGTTATTCAAGACAGCTAGTCGTTCTTGATTATTAAGTTTGTGTTTATTTATACTGGGTTGATTCAGGATCTCTTCGTTGCTGGCACTGATACTTCATCAGTAGCCATGCAATGGGCAATGGCTGAACTAATCAGCCATCCTGAAGTGCTGAAAAGGGTTAGAAAGGAGATAGAATCAGTGGTTGGAGAATCGGGAAGACTTGTAGAAGAAGAAGACATTCCTAAACTCCCTTATTTGCAAGCTGTTGTGAAGGAAACTTTGAGGCTCTACCCATCAGGACCAGTCACAATAAGAGAATGTCGTCAAAGTTGCAAAATCGGAGGCTACGACGTGCCACAAAAAACAAGTGTCGCGGTCAATCTCTTTGCTATTATGAGAGACCCTCAAGTGTGGAGCGAACCTAACGAGTTTCGTCCTGAGAGGTTCTTAGCTTCATCGTCAAAACAAGAACGAATCGAGACCAATACGGGGCAAAGTTTTGACTTCATCCCGTTCGGGGGTGGAAGGAGAGCGTGCCCTGGCGCGACATTGGCGTTAAGCATGATAAACACAACGATGGCGGCCCTTGTTCAGTGTTTTGATTGGAAGGTGGTTGGAGAAGGAGGTGGGGAAGAGGAAGCTAAGGTTGATATGCAACCCGGACAAGGCTTGACTTTAGGAATGGCCAAGCCTCTCTTGCTTGTTCCTACGCTACTTTTTGATCCATTTGGTGCTTCAATTTAACAATGCATGATCAGTGGCTTGATTGTCAGCTTCTTCAATAAGGTCTCATTTCAAGTTTACAATAATAACAGTGTGTTACGATTATATGGACAATGAGTGTATAAAAGAAAAAACTTCGTGATTTAATCTATACTTGCTGATATGAACAAAGACATCAATCATGTACTATAAACTTCAAGAAAGATGCGAAGAAAATGTTGTTCAAATTATCACAAGATGTTGCAATGCTATGTAGTTTAGGTTGCATGTTTAGAATTATTCAAGATCAATCTTGCTTGTAAAATTATGATCAACAAGGTATCCATTTTTAAACTTTCCCTTTGAGTGATTTTTTTATCATTAGGGCTAAGTTTTTTTGCAGTTCTACGTAGCTTAGATTGCATGTTTAGAATCGTTCAAGTTAGACATGATCGATCTTGCTTGTAGAGTGATTCAAATCTCAAACAAGTGTTCTTGCCTTCTGATATTCGATCAACAAGTAACCCGAATCTTACTTCCCTTATAGTGATTTCTTATCACTTGCACTCCTAACTAATAGGGTTCGATAACATAGAATTAAAATCTATCCAATGCTCCAACTTTTTGTTTTACACAAATAGCATATTTTTCAGAACTCATTTCCCTTATGTAGAGAGAGAAGAGAGACAGAGAGAGATGAAAAAGAAAAACTCAGTTACTTTAGTATACCCTTACTGAGATTCATTAATCTCCCATGTTTATGTTGAAGGTGACATATATGAAGCTTTTTGCTCAACCAAAATGAATATTATGTAGGTAACAAAAAGCTTGAAGCAGAGGAACTATTTACCTTTAGCCTCCTGAAAGACCAAAGTTACAGATTAGATAGAGATCAGATCAATCACTTGCTTCCCCCTTTTTCTTCTTCTGCTCTGTTGAGGGCTGTAAAAAAGCAGCAATTCAAGTGAAAATATTGTGAGAAACATAATTCATGTCAACTCCTGCAACAGGTAGCAGAGGTTGCAGGCTGAGGCTCTTGTCCAGGGACAACAATTTTGACTCCTTCGAGGAGTGATGCGCTTCCGTCGGTATCAGTATCCTCATTTGCAATCAGTGTCTTCCTGCTAACAACTCGGTAAATTTCTGTCAGTATGGTATTGAATGCTGCCTCTACGTTAGTTGCCTCCAGAGCTGATGTTTCCATGAAAAACAGGCTCTCCATTTGAGCAAACTCTTTAGCATCTTCTGTGGGCACAAGACGAAGAGAATCTAGATCAGACTTGTTCCCTATAAGCATGATAACGATGTTCTTGTCTGCATGCCCACGCAGTTCATCTAACCACCTAGTTATATGATCGAACGACTGACGCTTTGTCATGTCGTAGACCAGCATTGCCCCCACCGCACCTCTGTAGTATGCACTTGTCACTGCACGATACCTGAAAACCATCACTAATAAGAGAAAACGAAGGAAAACGAAGCATGCTCATGGTATATGTGAGATCTCACATCGGTTGGGAAGGAGAACAAAGCATTCTTTATAAGGGTATAGAAACCTCTCCCTAGCAGACGCGTTTTAAAAACCTTGAGAGAAAGTCTGGAAGAAAAAGCCCAAAAATGACCGTATCTGATATATGTGTTCCAAAATAATATCACGGCTTGATTGCTCTTAGCATCTATTCATACTAAAAAAATACTCCTTATGAACTCTGAAATGTGTTTTCGTTTACACTTTCCGAAGTCGAGAGGTTAATGTCAACCATCAGCACTCAAGTTATGTTAACAGGAAATCTGCCAAACTATAATCACATCACCATACCAGGACCCAGTGACAATTCTCTAATTCAATTCATAATATACTGATTGGTTCTAACATCCCTAAGTCAAATATTGACAATATGAACCCCCACCCGAGGGATTGAACATGATGATAAAGCAACTTGTGCTTAACTAAGTGATAATAAATTTATAAGGTCCTTAAGACCATTTTAGCCCCTGTCCCTGCTCACAAGATGGTTGTAACAGCTCAAGCCCACCACTAACAGATATTGTCCTATTTAGGCTTCCCCTTTTGAGCTTCTTCTCAAAATTTTTAAAACGTGTCTACTAGGGAGAGGTTTCTAACCCTTATAAAGAATTCTCCGTTCGCCTCTCCAACCAATGTGGGATCTCACAATGGTAGACTCAAAGCTATGCGATAGTACGGTTATAAAGGAGGATTTCTTTATGAGAATGAAGGTGAATCTGAATTGGATGCAGATTGTGTTACATGTCGAGTGCATAGTGTTTATGATTCAGTGACAATATATATATATATATAAATATATATATATATTATGTAAAACCCCATTGTTCCAAGTAGCAGGGGAGGTGAAAATGGAAAAGTAAACTGAAGCAGCAAGAGATGAAACAAAAAGTTACAAACATACTGTTTCCAAAGTTCAGAAAACAAGACATAATCAATTCTGCTTATTACACAGAACATAAGAAAAGGTTATGCAAAATGTCATATCAGAAGATTAAAAGAAAAATGATTAGTACAGTTTCTACATTCAGGAAATTCTTCACAAGTTGATGTAAAATTACATACATAGATGAACCGTCAACATGAACATACTGAAAACCAACAATAAGAAAAACCTTCATAAAACATTAAGGAAAACTACAATTAGGTGCATTTTGTTCAAGATTTACAATGAACTAACACATCGTTGAGGTAAATTTTTCATGCTAACATCAATCTTAAGCATTGAAATTCTGGAAAACCTAGTTCAATGCATAGCAAAATTCTAATCCAGCATTGTGGAGAAAAACAAAAATAAAATTCCTAAGAAACATGGCGGATTTTTACCTCTCCTGTCCAGCAGTATCCCATATCTGCGCCTTGATAGCTTTCTTGTCAATGACGAGCGTCTTTGTCTGAAACTCAACCCCAATTGTAGCCTTCGAATCCAAACTGAACATATTCCTAGAAAAACGAGAAAGAAGTTGCGACTTCCCCACCGCAGAATCCCCAATCAACACGACCTTGAATACATAATCGATCTTCTGATTGAAATTCGATTGCAGATTAGACATCGCTCTTACGGGAATAAGAAATCAATCTAATCCAATCGAACAAAAAAAGAAGAACAAATCGGAAAAGGGGGAAAATGGAACACCAAGCGATCGATTCGATCGCTTGATGCGATTACAAGAGAAACGGGGGAATGATTCTGTTTGGGGAGAAGGAAAATTGGGGGGAAAAAAGGGTTTAGCGATGATTTGAAAGGAAATGGGGAGAATCGAAGGTATTTTGACATGGACGAAAACAGAAAGAAAAAAAGAAATTAACGGTTCTTCTTCTTCGTTTCATTGTTCGTTTGGAATGGTCAACGTCAACATCTCCCAAACTTCCACGTATGACCAAAATGTCCAACTCTTAACTTAGTATTTAAAGTTTTTTTTTCTTTTAAAATATTTTATTAAATTTCTAATTATAATTTATTTATAATAGTAAGTACCGTTAAAAAAAAATAGGTGGTTAAATTTATTCTCTCTGTACTTTTGAGTTTGCTATCTAAATTTTAATAGATAATGATTTAAAATTCATTTTAAAATCGTCTCGCTAAAGTTTATAACAAATTAAGTTTGAGATCAATATAACATAAAGTAGAAGGTTCGAATGTCGAACTTTTTAACTCAGGTATACTCATGCTGATGCATAGCCGTAACAGTTTGTAAATAATCTTTTTTTATAAGAACTAAATTTTTACAAATTTGCCATCTAATTGTTACCTATTATCACTACCTTTAGTTATTAATTTTTATTAGATATGAAGTGAGAAAAAATGATAATGAATCAAAAAACTCGATGATGCCACAAAATTAGATCAACCCGATGCAGCATATATGAATTATATTGAGTTATAAACTTATTTACATTGAGTGCGTTCAAATAAATGAAAATCTTATCACATAGGTTCATGAGCTTTTTTATAACTAGATTGAATTCACCATTATAATTAATTTTAAATAAAATTATTTTATTTATTTATACTCTTTTTTAAATGTTTAAAAAAGTTACATTTTAAAATATATATTTTAATTGATTTTGTAAGTTAAAATTTTATTAAAAATCAAAATTTGAGTCTATGAAATGTTGCAACTAACTCTAACTTGTACAGTGTAATTACCACCTCTCAGCAGGGCTATTTTGGTCAGAGAACCACCTGAAATCAAACCAAACTGCCACCGTCCCACTATCACCTCCTCGCTCCTTCTCCTACATAACAATGGCTGCCATGGCAGATCTACAATCACTTCTCTTATACATACAGAAGAAAAAACCTCAACATTGCCTTCATACAGAGAGAAAACATATATGAGAATGTTACTTGTTGTCTTCTTCCTCTTCGCCGCCGTCGAAGCTTGCTCGCCTTCGAGCCAGGCGGCCCTGCTCGCATTCAAGGCGGCGCTGAACGAGCCGTATTTAGGAATCTTCAGTTCATGGACTGGAAATTCCTGCTGCGGTGGCTGGTATGGAGTCAGCTGTGATCCTGAAACTCTCGAGGTCACTGAAATTAGCCTCCGCGGCGAGTCTGAGGATCCGATCTTCCAGAAGGCCGGCCGAACCGGGTACATGACCGGCTCGATTTCGCCTGAGATTTGTAAACTCGATAGGCTCATGATCCTCATCATTTCCGATTGGAAAGGAATCTCCGGCGAGATTCCGAAGTGCTTGACGAAACTCGGCCAACTCCGAGTTCTCGACCTCGTCGGAAACAAAATCAGCGGCGAAATTCCTTCGGATTTCGGAAACCTAAATCGCCTCACCGTGCTTAACCTCGCAGATAATGCGATTTCCGGTACTATACCTAAATCGATCGTGAATATCGGCGGTCTGATGCATCTCGATCTCAGGAACAATCAAATTTCCGGCGAAGTTCCATCCGATTTCGGGAAATTAGAGATGCTGAGTCGAGCGCTTCTTAGCAGCAACCAACTCGGAGGATCGATTCCGGCTTCGGTTACGAAAATGAACCGCCTCGCAGATTTGGATTTGTCGATGAACGGTATCTCCGGCATGATTCCGGAGAATATCGGGAACATGCCGGTTTTGTCGACTCTGAATCTGGACAGCAACAGAATCTCAGGGCAAATACCTCCAACTCTGATCAGCAATGGCGGGCTAGGGATTCTGAATTTGAGCAGAAACGCTCTGGACGGGCAGATTCCGGACGTTTTCTGCTCGGGTTCATACTTTATGGCGCTCGATTTGTCGTTCAACGCCCTTAAAGGTCCGATACCAAATTCATTGTCGTCAGCTGAATACGTCGGGCATTTGAATCTGAGTCATAACCATCTTTGCGGGTCCATACCCATCGGGTCGCCCTTCAATCACCTTGAAGCGTCGTCGTTTACCAACAATGACTGCCTCTGTGGGAACCCATTAAGTGCCTGTTGACGAAAACAAATCCGGGTAAGAGAAAACGAGCTATGGTCAACCCGACCCGAAATAATGTTTATAAGACTGATAAATAAGAATGCTTTTTTTTTTATTATTGTTTTTTGGTTTAATGCAATCTGAATCTTATTAATAATTAAATATAGTGACTTCTTTTTTTGGTTCTTGGATTGTCGATCCTCTCATGATTATCTCCTTAGCTTTGTTTATTTTTTTTAGTTGTCTCATGATTTGGAATAGTCTTTGACCAAGTTAGCGTGATTGAACCATTCTTTAATGTTTGTAATTGGTGGTGATGTGTTGTGACTCATAAATGTTTGATATTTAAAATGTATGAGATTTTAATTATATTTTAAATAAGTAAATTTTTTAAAAATAATTAAACAAACAGTCAACTCAACCCATTTGAGTTTGTGGACATATAGATGGTTCAGGTCACTAACCCAATCAATCCAAAATAATGCAATATACCCCTCATAATTTTGATGGACCTATATGAATTTGAGTTTCATCGAGTTTTCAATGAGCTAAGATCCTTTCTTAATTTATTTTCAATGAGTTCGAGCCTAAATTAGAGTTAAGTGACATAATTTGATTAGACTAGTTAACATTTTTTAATGGACCAATGCTTACACAAATGACCTTGAGTATGAAACAATACAATCGTAGATATTTGGTTCATATCAAACTTAAGTCATTATGGTCGTAGATTATAAGTATTATTTAACATTCTAATGGATTTGTATTTTATACGTATATATTTTTTATTATATAAATATTGTCACATTTAATAAATAAGTGTTTATTAATTAAAAAAAAAACAGTTTTTAGTTTTCCATTTTGATTTTCATAATTAAATTTATTGGAATCACATGATCGGGCCGGAAGAGAAAATTGGGCCGGAGTCCAACTGTCTATTGTTTGGAGGGGTACCTTTCCCGCCATCGACCATTTCTCTCAACGAGCAAATTTAGGGCACATTCTTTCCACTCCTCACCACTTCCATTGAAAGTAAGCTCCAATTCATTCCCCTTCTTCACACAAATTTCGGTTTTATTCGTTGTTCTTTTGCACAGTGTAGCTTCCAGTTCTTCATTATTGATTTCCAGATGCATGATGCCCTAACTACGTCGAGATTATTTGAATCGACCAGCAGATGGAATTTTTTTTTTTTCGCTCGTTGTAATTTGTTTAATTTCTCGGATATTTCAGGTTTCTGGTGCCTTTAATTTTTACTGAGGAGTTGCGAAAACACTATCGTGATGGTAAATTTCTGAATGATTTGTTCAATTAGGATATTGATGCTGGTTGATTACGAAGTATAATGTGGTATTCGTATCGTTTGTTTTATCAGTCTGGAAGAAAAGAAACTGTTCTGGATTTGGCTAAGTTTGTAGACAAGGGCGTCCAAGTGAAGCTTACCGGTGGTCGACAAGGTTGTTTCTATTAATTATGGTTAATAGTATTACTGCCATTTGGATACAATTCATTGCTTTCTGATTAGCAAGATTTTTATTCAACTGTTCGTGTGTTGCGTTGAAGAGGACCGAGGCACATAATTGAATGTTCGATGTCTTTTTTTCTTTTTAATTTGTTGTTTTTAAATTTAAGAAAAGTGCCTTATGAGCCTTATTTTCCATTGACAGTTACTGGAACGCTAAAAGGATATGATCAATTGCTGAACCTTGTGCTGGATGAAACTATAGAGTTTTTAAGAGGTAACCAATTAACTGGATACTGGCAGAATAGATGAGAGTTGTGGAATTTTATAAACGTATAGACTGAAAGCTCGATGGAAATTGATTAGCAGCATTCATATAACTTTTCTTATTTATTTTCACTTTCCTGCTATTTTAAATGTACGGGAAATTTAGAAAAAAAAAATCATTTGATATTGGATGAAGAGGCACAAATTAAGTATTTAATTTAGAAGTAACATAAGCAAACAAACAATATTTCTATAAGAATAGACAAAGATTTTTGTTCTGCCGATTTAACGGATTAAGATATGGCAGTGTAGTAAAGGCCTTTCATATTGAAACGTTATTTTGTTTTACATGTTTTCTCTAAGCATATTTGCAATTGATACGTTTTTTTTTCCTATCTTTCAATAGAAAAATGGATGTCATTGGCATTATGGACTATATGAATAGTTATTTTATTTTATTTTTATTTTTATTTTGAATATTGGATATATTTAAATTTATAGTAGGCTGTTGCATAAATTTGTAGCCTCAATTTGCATTATTATCTTGTAAATCTTTGCATACATTTTGGATTTTATTCGTGTACCCATACACTATTATAAGATTTGTTTGACTAAAAGTTGCAAATACGTGCAAATCTATAACAATCTCTACCATAATATATAAAACCACCATTTTTTCTTTCTATTGTTACTTGTAACTAGATGATTAATCTATTCATAGGCATAAATAAAATTCTGAATTAGTATGTATGTGTGTGCAATGCATATAATATTAAGTAATCACATTCATTCAAAAGGCATGGAAAAAAGAGGAAAGATGAGCAATATCATCTCCCCGGTCCAGGCCTTGGGGTGGGTGCTGGTGCCCTCGGGAATAGGAGAGCAAAGCTTCAACTCCCGGTTATATTAAAAACAAAAACCTCTATATTATTTATCATCAGCCGGGGTACAAAAGCCTCCCACCCAGCATTTCCTACCAAAATCACCGCAACTATTTAGCTTATGTACACCCACAGCTATGACTAACAACCTCACTCCCAGCCCCAAGTATGACTCCCACCAACTGACATTGTTCCTTCTCCCCTTACACACTGCACCTTGACTAATGAAAGCCTAGAAAAATATACAAATTAGAGGCAAAACCTAGAAGCTCTCAGAACTTATCTAAGCTCCACATCTTGTGTTCGTAATTTTTTTTAGAGAAAAAAAAAAGGTAATATTTTTGTCTCTACTTCCAAAGCTCCCACAAAAAAGCTTTGAGGAGTTTGAACCACAACATCCTATTTGGACGTATGCTCACAAAGACTATGTTCGGCAACCAAACAAAAGAACACATCAAAACAGAAAAATAACTATATTGCAATATCAATGAAGAAATTACAATATCAAATCGCTTTTTTTAAGAGGGTTATCTCTCTCCGAAGTCCCACAATGAACAATCCTCACCAAAAATGATCTTATAGTGTCCCTAACTCCCCATATTTATAACCAAGTTACCCCCTAACTAATTACCACTATGTCCTTACTTCTAATATTCCCAATATGTTCCTTACTAGTACTATCACAGACCCTTGCAACAAGGCCTGATTATATGTGTGGAAGCGCCATTGAAAGCCGGAAACTTCCAGTAGCTTATGCCAACAAGGACAGACTAGGCAGGTCGTGCTATTAATCCTCAAAATTTTCTTTGTTAAGAAGTTTCCACTTAGGAGCCTATACTTTATAAGGGCACTTCTGATGAATTCTGTCCCGTGGTGTTGATATTTCATATTCCGTAGCACCAAGGTTCAAGAACAAACTAGACCTTCTTTGCAGCCAAAGCTTTCCAAATAGCCTCGGAGAGCCATTTCTCCAACATTCTAGGACGTGTAAAGAAGTATTATAATGGTACTATAAAGTTCATTTATGAATTAGTAAATGAGTTCATGGACTCATCTGGGTTTGCACCTCCTCTTTTTTTTTTTTTTTTTTTTTTTTTTCATC